ATATGTTTTTTTTTTTTATGAGAACCAATTCCCTTTTCAAGACAATGAAATCATTAGATTTGCTTCTGATCATGCTAGCCTGGTCATTCCCTTGCTAGTCTAGGAAGACAATTCACCCACACCAATAACCCATTGAACCATTAGTTAATCTGCAATCTACTCATCCCATGAACAATCCTAATATTCCAATACAACCCACTGTAACTAAATCCAATCAACTATAGCCTATTGAACCTAGACCTATAACCACAATCATCCCTCCACCTTCCTGTTCAGGTCCTAAACGGTGCACTGAGCCACCAACCTGACTTCAGGAATTTGTTTGTCTAACCATCTAGACTAGTGAACATCCAAGCACAAGACACTTGATTGCTCACTTTATATTGCCCATGACAGATGATCCCATTCACTCAGCCATGTTAAACATTTATGAACCAAAGACCTATAATGAAATTCTCTCAACCCAAATGGCGTCAAACCATGAATGATGAACTGGAAGCCCTAACACGGAATGACACTTGGTCTTTAATTGACTTGCTTCATGGAAAATCTCTTGTTGGATGTAAATGGGTTTACAAACTCAAGCTTAAACTAGACGGGTCCATTGATAGGTATAAGGCCTGTTTGGTTGCTAAAGGATATACTTAAACAATGGGCATTGATTAAATGAAACATATGCCCTGTTTGCTAAACTCACCAAGATATGATGTCTTTTGGCACTAGCCGCTACACACGATTGGGATCTTCATCAAATGGATGTCAATAACACATTTCTACATGGAGAAATCCAAGAAGTGTACATGACTCCACTTGGATTTTTGCCTAAAGGTAATACTAGAGTTTGCAAACTGCAAAAATCCATATATGGTCTCAAACAAGCTTCTAGGAACTGGTTTGAGAAGCTTGCTCATGCTCTCAAACATCATGGGTTCATTCAATCCAAGGCCGATTCCACATTATTCACCTCAGCCCATCCTTGTAGCTTTCTAGCAGTATTAGTGTATGTTGATGACCTAATCATTGTTGGAGATGATTCATTCCGAATCGATGGTTTTAAGTGACTCGTTCTCAATTAATGTTTCAACATTAAAGACCTTGGTGCTCTCAAATATTTTTTGGGCATTAAAGTGACTCATTCCTTTGATGACATATTTTTATGTCAATGTAAGTATACACTTGATATTCTCTCAGAGGCTGGTATGCTTGATTGTCATCCTAGTTCATTTCCAATGCTTCAACGTCATTTAATAGAAGATGGCAGCCCTCTTTTGAAGAATCTATACTAGTTTAGGTGCTTGGTTGGTCGTTTGATATACTTAACAATAACTTGGCTCGATATCAACTACTCTGTACATGTGCTAAGTCAGTTCATGTGTACGCCACGGCAGGCCCACTTTGATGTTGCCATGCATGTTCTTTGATACTTAAAATCCACACCAAGCCATGGGATATTTCTTCTACCTCTGATCTTGTGATTCGTAGTTTTTGTGATTCCAATTGGGTTAGGTGTCCTCTAACTAGGCGGTCAACCACTGGATATATTACCATGATGGGACATACTCCACTTTCTTGGAAAACCAAGAAACAACACACTGTCTCTCGTTCATCAGCTAAAGCCGAGTACCGGTCCATGGCGGCTATCACAAGTGAACTTCTATGGATCAAATAATTATTTTAGGATCTTGGACTTCTTTATCGTCAACCCATGCCTATTTTTTTGTGACAATAAAGCTACTTTACACATTGCCACTAATCTAGTTTTTCATGAATGGACAAAGCATGTGGTAATTGACTGTTACTTTGTCCGACATCACCATCAAGCTAAAACAATTGCTCCTCCCACATACATGTATGTGGGAGGAGGCATATTAGGTAGTTAGTTGGTGGATCCCACCTATCCAAGAATGACTTACACATGTGATTATTTACTTGAGTAAATTATTGAGATGCAATTTACAGCTAGCACCTCTATACACTGACCTGTTCACAGATTGGGCCGGGTTGGGTTTGGTACGGGCTTTGCCTCTACATTAACAAAATATGCTAAGACTTGAGCCCAAGCCCGGCCCGACCATCGGGCCTAGGTCTTGAGCTCGAGCCAGGCTCTCATATAAAGCCCAAAGCCCGGGCCCAAGCCCGAGCTCGACCAGAAATTTGGAAAAAAGATTCTTTTCCTTTTTAATTTAATAAAAACTATTTTATTTATATTAAAATACCTCAAAACCTAAAAAAATAATGAAAGGTCTCATTATTACTTGGAAAAAGAGAAGAAAAATAAAGAAAAAATATTATATATATGCTTTTTTATTATATTAAATATATTTTTTTTATATAATACATTATTAAGTTGGACTCGGGCTCGAGTTGGGATTTTTTGAGAAAGCCCGAGCCTGGCTCGAAAAAAAGGTCGGCCCCAATATGTTAGGCCCGAGCCTGAGCCAGTGAGCCTGAAATTTTGTCTAAGCCTGACTTAGATCGAGCCGGCCGGTCCATCGAGCTACCTGATCCATGAACATGTCTATCTATAAGACTATAACTATAAATAAAACATTCGCATGCAATAATAGATTCTTTTCTTTCTTGCTTCACTTTGATTTTAAAACTAACTCTTGAAAGATTCAAGTATTTTATCAGGAGCAAACCCTTGTAAAGAGTGAGAGCCTTGTCTTGAATTGGGAAAAACCCATCCGGGGCTAGCAACATTCAGTTTCAAAGAATTTTTCCACAGACACTTCCAAAAAAACATATTGCTTTCTCTACTTAGGGGCTAGCAGCAAAGAACTTCACCATCTTTAATCCTCTCTCTCCACAAGTTGTTTATCATAACCAAAGTAGATCTAACAAAGAACTTCACCATGGGAAATTCTTTCTATGGTTCCAGATTTCTAACCATGTGGATGTGGTCAGCCACATGCGATATTTTCAAACCAAGTTATATAACAGCCTAGACTTCCAAACTAGATTGATTTGGAAAATCTTTACATGTATAAATATAACAAGAGAAAATTGAAGTTCAAGCTCCCGAAGTATCTCCTTTATTGGCTTCAAATGATGAAAATGGCATAACCAGTGGAATACAATTAGTTTCACCATCCGAAAATGGTAACATTCATGGTCACACAGGTTCATCTACTGAAGAGATCTTGTCAAGGAGAGAGGACCACCAAGCTCAAAATCAAACTTTAATAACAAAAGGTTAGTATCTTATTGGTATCATGCTGACAAATTATCAGCCTAGTCCAAATTGAGTATTGAAGAGGACATAGTCCGCATCTCATTGTTTCATCTACTGAAGAGAACACAGTTAGTTTCACCATCCAAAAATGGCAACATTCATGGTCACATATGTTCATCTACTGAAGAGAACCTGTCAAGGAGAGAGGACCACCAAGCTCAAAATCAAACATCAATAACAAACTATTACTATCTCATTAGCATCATGCTAAAATCTGAATGAACCAACAAGGAACATAGACTTGCTAATTGATCTCCATGAACTTGCTGTGATGTGAAGATCCAGAGAAGTTGGAAACTCTAGTCAGTAACTTCTAAGGGCTTGTAAAACAGAGTATTCATATATTCGTTGCTGACAAATTATCCGGGAGTCACTCCCACCAGCCATCACTGCAACTAGTCAGCCGTCAAGTCTATATTTCAGCTACCGACTATCAAAAAAATAAAAAATAAATGAAAATATAAAATATTAAGACAAATAATAATGAAATAAAGAGAACAAAAATCTACAAAAAAAAAGAAAAAGTAAATTAATTAATTAATTATTAATCCAATGGGCAAATAATCCCAACTGACAGTTGGCTATAAATTTGCAACAGTGAGGTCGTGGAGAAAACAATCGACAACATGTCCATATTAGGCAACACGTGGCCTTCCATCCAACACGTTGCCTTAATACATGCATATTAAATCAAATCAAGTTAAACATATAATTGTAAATAAATTAAAAATTGAACAAAATTACTGTCAACCTGATCTCGGCTGAAGATTTTGATGGTATCATTGTTCAACGATGAAGGTTGAAGACGACAGTGTTCAATGCTAGGGGATGCTCATAGCGCCCTACCCTGTTGGTATGGAACTGAGCCAACTGTTGATCCAGATCTGAACATGAAGGTTGAATGTTGAAGATGGCAACTCCAAGATCACCACCAACATATCCATGAATGTCCTTTGCAATCCTTTCCAAATCAACTTGCACAAAGGAGCCATGACAACAATTAAATAAAACAGTTTGACGGATACAAACAAGAAAAGCTATATGCCAAACAAGGGTAGATTCCAAGTTTACATCTTCAAAGAGCTTCATGTTCTTTGTGTGAATGCGAAGAACCTCTAGTCGCCCAACTTCATCTAGAACACCAATATCAATTTCCCTATCAAACCTTCCAAACCTTCTCAGAGCCGGGTCAATGTTGTTAGGTCTATTTGTAGCCCTAATAACGATATGAAAAACAAAGGGAGAGAAGAGAACGGAATGTTGTGATGAGATCCTTGGTCAAAGTTTTCCCTCTTTTCAGCACGTCTGCTTAGCCTTGATCATCTCTGCAATAAAATCGAGAAGAGAATGAAATGAAAAATGAAGGAGAGAAAAAACATAAATTGAAAACATAAACTAAGAAAAAACATAGAGAGAGGGAGAGGGAAAAATAAAAAACGAAGAGAGAGAGAGAGAGAGGAAAGGGGAGAAAGAGAAAGAAGGGGACATGAAGAGAAAGGTAGAAAGGGAGAGAGAAAAAAATGAAAAATAAAAGAAGAGGGAGAGAAAAGAAAGGGGAGAAAGTGGAAGAGGGGTGTGCGGCACGTATGGATATCGTTGCACGTGTGATTTTAGATGCGTGTTACTTATGGCATTAGTAGTTTAGTTACTTAAAAAGAACTACGTACCATCATGTTATATTGTTGTGGCATTAATCTGTAATATAATGCGTACTTATAATTTATAAAGCAGTCAGTGGTCAGGCCGTTCAACCCGTGATCGGTGATCCAATTACCTTCCGGTTTTGAGAGTGATCCGGGTTGACAAGCTGCTATTAACACCGGTCTAAGGTGTCCCACCACCACCATTCTCTGGACTCTGGTACTATGATGGCCGGCGGTTGTTCCGTCCTCTCTACTTCCCAGTCGTCATGCCCCAATATTCTACTTCAAAGACAATGTGCCTGCTAATTCCCGTCGTTCTCGTTGATGCTCGATAGATATTATATTAGGGTTTTGGTTAAAGAGACAGTTGAAATGTTTTAACGTATTTTTTACTTATACCAGTTGGAAATCAAGGATACCTACTGGAGCTGCGTTCCATCTTTGCCTTCCATATCTTCCTCCTTAAAGAAAGATGAGCTATCCTGGATTAGTTATCACTTAAAGAGGTCAGTCTGAACCTTCCTTTTCTTTTGTTGTTTATGCCCTAAACGTTTCGAAATTGTGTTAGAACTCCAGGTATCGCTATAATTTTGATCCCTGCTTTTGAGAAATAGACTAAAATCTGTTCACCCTTAATCAAGCTTATTCAATTGAAAAGATTGGCAGATCTTTCATCCTTATTCTTTTCTTGAGTTTATGATTGATTTTTTCTCTATTCTGTAGTTTGTACATAGATTTTATTGAATAAATTTACATATACGTGTAAGTTACATGGTGGGTATAATACATTTTTCGAATAGGTGATTTTTCTGAAGTTGGGGTTACCCGAATTGCTACATTTCTGTGACTTGTAGTCCACTTCACATCAGATTTGCAAAGTGTTGAAATTCTAACCACGTTGAGAACGGTAGCTTACGAAATTGCTCCTATCTGTTCAGTGTAGCCTGAAAGTTCTTGATAAATGTAAAGGGGATTTTTATTCATAAAAAAAATGTAAAGGGGATTTTCCCTTTTCATATAATTCATCACTTGTTAATGTTCCGTGTGCTGTGTGAACTTGCCAAATGGAAGTTGAGATATAATTGGTATTTGGTACATGGTGAATGGTATTTATTTATTTGTTTCCATCTTTTCTTTCGGGAATCTGATATTAATTGTGAACACACTGTTTACTGGGGTTAGTCATGTAATGAATGGTGTTTATTCTTTTCCTTCCCTTTTTGGGTACTTGTTAAGAGGACATCACCCAATGTTGGCCCCAGATATCTGGGTCTTGGGAGGGGTGGATTGGATAGTGGATACAGACCCAACCTTTGTCATTTATTTTTGCACAAAATGGCTACTCGCAGACTCTAGCCCACACTTGGCCCGGGGATTTTTGGGAACTTGATATTGGATGGGAATGCCCGATTTCCTTTCTTTCTTCTATTTTCTTGATGATCTTAGTCCAATCAACTGGATTATTGTTGACCCAATATGACACATTTCCAACCATACAATCTTTCTTGAACTCTATTTGTTTAGAGTCTGATTGGTTAACACGTTTCTGTTCAAAGAGTTTATTCAGCTATAGTTCTTAGTCCAGGGCCACTTCTAGATGTAGGTTTTCATCTTTCAGTGCCTGATAAGCATCATACGCTTTGTTGGGATTTTCTATGTAATCTGTTACTTGTGATGTTTTTAGGTTATGATAATAAGGGGGTATCTTTCAGGTGAGAAGAGAGAAAGGAGACTAACGACCTTCCTGTAAACTAATTATATATAACGCCAACCAACCCAATGGATCGACAAGCTCACGACTATGCAGCAGCGATGGCTTATGCTCAACAGCAGCAACAGCAAGCAGCCAATATTCAACAGCAACAACAATTTGGGTTTCATCCACAGCACCAGCAGTTCCCTCAGCAGGTTCATGGGCCTCCTTTTGTACCTCCACATCCTTCTCTTCAACAGTTTCCTTTCCACCGGCACTTGCAGCAGCAGCAACTACATCCCCATCCTCACCACCCTCACCATCTTCTTCATCTACGGCAGCAACAACAACCAGCACCAACATTTCCCCCTCATATGCCTCCTCAACATGTTCCCCCACCTTTCCATAGTCCATTCGATTCTGCTCCACCCCCAGCTGTTCCCCCCTCTGATCCGGAGCTCCACAAACGCATTGATAAGCTTGTAGAATATGCTGCTAAAAATGGTCCTGAATTTGAAGTCATGATCCGTGAGAAGCAACGAGATAATCCTGATTACAGTTTTCTCTTTGGTGCTGAGGGGCATGATTACTACCGTTACAAACTTTGGTTATCCACAAGTCCGTCGGGTGCTCCTTTCAATCCTTCTTTCCCTTCCTCCTCTATACCTATGATGCCTCCTCCTCTGAACCCTATGATGAATCCATCTTCCTTAAATCATTATCCCTTGAATGCCCCAGCAGCTGCTGGAATTTTGGGTGCTCATCAATTGCATCAGCCTCCTTTTCCACCCTTTTATGACCAGCACCAGCACTCTCAACCTTTTCCTGCACAGCCTAGACCAGATTATGATCCTTCAACCAAGTCCTTCAAGGGTCTCTCCGGACCCCTTCCTTCTGATGTTGCTGCTGAGCTCAATAACGTTCTCAACAATCTCACTGGTACCAAGGAGTCAATAAAAGGTGCCAAGATTTGGTTTATGCAAAGGTCTCCATTTGCACCAGCTCTAGCTGAGGCCCTTAGAGATAGGGTACTTGCTCTTGATGATTCTGAGAGACAGTTGCATATAATTTATTTGGCCAATGACATTCTTTTTGACAGGTATTTCTTTAACAGAATTTTATGCCTTTGAGCTGGATTTTTTTCCTGGTTTTAATATTTTATTTGCCAAGTAAGATCCTCCCTTTTTTGATAGCATTAAAAGTACTTGTTCTTTTCTTATTGCCCTTTCTCAATCAGCTTTCTCTTTTCTCCACATTTCACAGAAATATATGTAAATGTCAGCCATATTTATACATTTGATATTGTTTTAGTCAGTTGATGCTATTTACCATCGTTTGAGTGTTTTCTTGCTGAATTTCATCTTGGTAGAACTTGTAATTTACCATTTTAAGTTTGGCACTTGAAGCTGGGTTATTTGTTGCATTGAAGTAGAACTTACATTCACAGTATTCTGTCTTTGTATTTTGTTTCTGCTCTTATATCTATTTCATGCATTTTATTTTTTTGAGTGCAAAAATCAATGTATTTCATTAAAGGGAAATAAAAGTGGGGGATGTTACAAAAGAACGATGTACAAGATGGAAACCAACATGAATGACTTGAGATCATCACAATCTGTACAAGCATGTAGAGTACATAAGTTCCCATGGAAAAGAGTTTTTTTTTTCTGTAAATTCCTTCCCAAATTGCCCCTGACCTAGCATGGCCATCAAAAACTGCATTCAGCTCCCTAGGAGTCCATTTCAAAACATGAGGAACAGAATGAAGAGGTGAACTAATGGCCTTTGAAGAATTCCTTGCCAACCCTCTATCCCATCTATTGGCCTTTGAAGAATTCCTTTCAATTGAAAGAGAGGAGGGTTGTTTTAGCCATAGCAATCTTATTGCTATCCAAAAAGGCCATGAGCCCTTGACTTAATTTCTATTTTTTTTCCAATGGGGCTACTTCATGCTTAATCATGTCACCTTCCCTTCTAGATGTGAAACCACCAATACCAGAAGGAAAAATTCTAAACTACAGCAAGGGGCTAGTCATGCAGTATGATATAGAAGTTTGCACAATCAAGAAGCAATACAATGCAACTGATTAGAAAAAGAAGCAAAACACACATGGAATATGTACTGGAGATGGTAATCTTGAGATTGATGAGTGGGAATGACGAGATGGGGGATCTGACTATGATACCAGAAAGGCATGATATTTAAAGAACTGATAACTAATCAAGTGGTATTCATCAGAATTCACCATGGGGGTGATTGGTCAAAGCTCTTCCAAGTATCATTCCTTTTTGGCACCATAGGTTTACCCTAAAATTAGATATGAATGAATTTGCAGGAATTGAGGTGGGTAATTCTACTAGGTGATGTGCAAAAGTTGACTGGTATGGTTTGGTCATGTGCATCCTGGTGTGAGTTGAAGGATGTAAAGGGCAGGGAGAAAGAAAAAGGATGTAGTTGGAAGTAGTGAGAAGATAAGTAATGATCCATGCCAAAGATAAGGATCTAGAGTTCTAGACAATGCTAACAGTGGACTAGAATTCTCTAAGAAACCTTAAGCCCTGTGATCTAGCCCTGTTGTTTTCTGGTTCTTTTAATCTCATAATTGTAGTTGATAATTAAGTTTTTTGAAATATTGGTTATTGGGTATTATTTGGAAGAGATGCTTGATTTTATAAGACAGTTAAAGGAAAACCTTGTTTTGTCTATCAGCCAAGTGCTGTACTGCTTTTCTTGTACTGCCCGCACTGTCTATCTTGGGACAGTCTGGTTCTTTGTTCATTATAAATGAATGAAATTCATTTTCGTTGACAATCAAGAAAACCCTTGTTTTGTCTGCTGGTACCTAGTACCTATACGGTTTTAAGAGGTTTCTATGCAAGCTTTTGTTTGAGCTAATATTATCTTGATTGGAATGTTTGTTTAAATGTCGGAGTGGCTATGTTTTGAATTGGTATAGAATCAGAATGGATATTAAATTTGAGATTTGAGTATTTGGTGCTATGAACTTATCCAATTGGGGGTTAAGATGAGAGCTTCAAGTAGTTAAACTAGCATTTCTGTTCATGAACAAAGATCTCAATATAACTCCTGCACAGCTCCTACCTCCCTAGTCATTGAACTTAGAATAGGACAGGTTTTGACTTGTAGTATGATTGGAACCGGGATTGTACCCACAAACGTTATGGTTATGTTGCAATTTCTTATACAACTAAGATATAGAGTGTACCAGTTATCTTATAGAGATGTGATGGTTTATTTAACCGTCATTCAGTTCTTTTCTTATAAGTTGCTTAAAACTTAATTGATTCTTCATAATTTGCATCTTGATATTGCACATGTATAACTTTTGCAGTTTAGGTGATGTTTGGTTAAACCTCTTCTATTTCTTGTTGGATATTTTATGTAAATTTGGGGTTTCTGATATCTTCAAATGTCAGGTTGACACCATGGTGAAAAAAAAGAAGAAATCCATTGAAAAATTACTTATCTTTTAGGTGGTGTTTGGCTCATGAAAAGGGTGGTGTGGTTCAAAAAATGTACCATTTTTTTCCAGAAAATGACAATGCATTTTTTGAACCAAATAATACAGAAAGGGTTGTTCTATTTGTTCATTTTTTGAACTACAATATGTGACTATTGATTGTGTGACTCATGTATTGTATACATGTAACTTCGCTATTTGCCATATAGTCATTGTTGGGTAAAAAAATTACGACTGGTGCTTTATAGATGTTGAGACACTGTAACTTCCATGTCATGCTTACATCAGTGAACCATGTTTTTTTTTGGTGTAGAACACTTCGTCACTAACTGTAAAGGTTCATTTTCATTTTTGATGTGGTCTGAAATTCCCTTGCGTATAAAAGTTGTGGCTTCTCTAGTTGGCTGTTGACTGTCAGGATGGGATTTGATCGTAATCACTTAAAATATGATATAATCAGAAAGAGCCCCTCAACAAACTCCTTTCAATCCTAATGTATGAATGAATGAACAGATCTTGGATCCAACTGGGCAAAGACTAGAAATTCTGATGTGCTGCTTTGTTTTTCCCCTTCCCATCTAAAATTGGACAGGGTTTGTAACTTTGCCGCTCCATTATATGATAAATTTTATTATCTTCTACTGATAAAAAGGTTTAGAAGTAATCATTAACTGGTTCATCTTCTATTCTATTTTCCTTTAACAATTTATCTCAATTGATGACACCAATTGGTGCAGCTTGCAAAGGCGGATCAATCCTCGTGACCTTGATAATGAGGCCCTTGCCTTCAAACCTATTCTTGGTTCCATGCTTGCCAGAATTTACCACAACCCTCATAATAAAGAGGCAAATCAGTCTCGATTGCAAAAAATTTTACAGTTTTGGGCTTCAAAGGAAGTCTATGATCCTGATACTATATACTCACTTGAGGGTGAGATGATTGGTGGACCTCCAAGTAATTCTTTTCCAGGGCATCCTAAGGAGTCATCTACCTCCTCAGTGGATCCATCAAGTGCTGCTGGTAATCTCTCTCTCTCTCTCTCTATCTCTCGTCCTCCCATACTCCTCCTTTGTGTTTGTGCCAAGTGGTGCATATCCGACTTATAGTGCATATACATGTATATACTTTATGAAGTTTCTGTAAGAATTTTATTATTAGTTTTTTCTCTCTTTTGCAGGTTTGCAACAGCAAATATCTCATGATGCCTCTAAATGGCAGCAGGATAAGCCAGGAGATTCGGTGCCAGGTTTACTAGATCAAGAGCAACCAGATAAACAAGTGCCTACTGTCATTACTGTGCAATCATCCCTTTCAACTTCCCAGTTTGCACCTCCTGTACCCCAGCAATTTCTTTCAAGCTCGGTCCCTCCTGGCCTTTACCCACCAGTTACTGCATCTCCTTTTGTGGGGTCTGGACCACAACCTACTCAACCAGTTACTTCAAATGTTGGCATTGGAGAAAAGGTGCCTCCTTATCCCTTGTTCCCACCTGGTCTTATTCCTGGAATGGTAAGGAAGATGCAGATTGGTAGTGGGGTACCATACTCTCCCATGAGCCCTCTAGACATTCCTACTGTTATCCCTCCATCCACTGTATCTCCTTCAGAAATTCTTGAGAGAGTTTCAAAGTTCTTCAAAGAGATTGGCGAAGTTAACCCATCAGAAGGGCCCATGAAACCATCAAATTCAAATGATGAAGATGATGAGTACGATAGGGAGTCTCCAGTTCGCAAGGGAGGGGCATGCATTCCTCCTCCTCCAAACCTGCTGCATGTAGATCCTGAGACAGGAACTTATGCTGATGGAAGTGTAGAACAGAAACCAGGATCTAGTGGCTCGGGAAGATTGGGACTTGGGGCGACAGCTAATCCAAATGAAGTGAGTCAATATGATGATGTTTATACTTCTTATAGGAAACAGAGGAGCTCCAGTTACCATTCGTCCATGAGTGCAAGAGCTGCAGCAAAGTAAAAGAATTTTGAATTAGGATTACTGTTTTCGCAAGGATGTATGGGGTTTTGCAACCTCGATTGAATATTTATGCTAATGTAGGCTACATGCAGCGTTATTTGATATACTTGTTTCCATTGTTTTCACCCCCCCCTTGACCTGGATGGGTCGAACCATTCGAACCATCACATTGTCATGATTTTGGGTCCGGTTTTCCTAAAACATGGGATTTGGCCAAAAAAGTGTTGACTTGGTCAAAACCTGTTTGACCTTGCCATCAGGTCATGGGTTATACACTCCATGTTTACAAACTTTAGATCGAGGTCCAAATTTTGCGCTTAGTTGTCTTATTGGAGTGATTTATATGCCGATTTTGGATAACTTTTTTGTGATATGTACGTTACGTTTTAGCTAGTTTTGCTAAATCTCGAATCCCAATTTTTAGTATTTTAATAAAAAACAAATTATATATATATATATATATATATATATATCTTAAATGTTCTTCTGTCATGTCTGAATTGGCCGTTATGCATAGTGATGAAGTGNTATATATATATATATATATATATATATATATTATTCATACTTTCACACAATCTAACTACTCTTCTGACCGGTTCATCATATTTAAACCTGCAAATCTTCTATTTTTTGTTCTCCGCCAATGCAGATCTGATTCGGTTCAGTTTGGAAGGAGTACAAATACAAATATGTAGAGTGAAAAACTTTGTATTTTGTATTATTTTATATGTATTTATACTGTACATATTTGTATTTGTATTCTTTCCAAATTGAGTTGAAGAGTCATAGATTGACAAAATAGCCAATTGGCTATGGTAATTGTGGGTTGTGGCAAGGCCAGAAGAACCAATCAACATCAAGCGATAACACTGGGAGTCACTCCCACAGTCCCTCCTAAGCATGTTTGTGGGTTGGGTTTGAGCTTAGCTTTTGCTAAATTGGCCATGGTAATTGTGGCCTGGCCGTGAATAGGTATACTCTTATCCAATCTAATCTATGAATAGGTATACTCCTATCCAATCTAATCTACATTAGATGCAAAGCAATGTTTTTTGTTGGGCCCGTAGTCCTTGGAGCTTGATGAGGGCAGATTTGGCTCTCAAATGACATCATGACACATGGCATCTTAGAACAACTGAATGACACCTGGCACCACCTAGGCAATGACTTGCTTTAACCAAAATGATGGAGTCCTAATTGGTGATCTGCCTCTGCCGCTGACCTAGCGATCTGTCGCCGTAGACCTGGTGACTTGCCTTTGTCGACCTAGCGACCTACCTTCCGTCGCTGACTTGGCGACCTGCCTCCGCTAACCTGGCGACCTACCTACGCTGCCGACCTGGTAGAAACCTAGCTAGCGACCTCATCCACAACTTAAAGCGACAAGCAGCACCTTGTCCAGGGCTGACCTATGGTACCTCATCAGTACCAGTCGAAGTGATATTGACACGAGGAGTGACCTCTCTCGAGGGATTGCCAACCTGATTGAGGTCTAGGTCTTGACTTGTGAGACGTGCTCGTCGACCAATTCTGCATGCATCCTGTCACTCCTGGGAAGTTGGCTCCCATACCGAATGTTCCAGAGGAAACTGAATAAAGCACAAAGATTGGTCTACGTGCACGACTACCTCCAAGGACTTTGGATCGGTTAAGAACGTTTTCTAGAAGATCTCGGATACGGTGCATGAAGTCCATGCCAAACAATGCCTATATAAGGGCCTTACTTCCATCCTCAGAAGGTATGCACAATTTAGCTCTTACAGCTCTTTACCGCTCCTGCTTTTGGCTCTCTCAAAAATCTCCAACTCGTTGACTTAAGCATCGGAGTGCCCACCTCGGGTAAAACAACCCAGGCAATTTTACATTGTTTCCTTACAGGTTGCCCCAGTAAACTATATAGCTTGTCAATATTCAGCTAGGTGTTCAAACCACCTTCTAGCTAGGAACTATTTAGTTAGGTGTTCAAGCCACCTTCCAGCTAGGAACTGTTCAACTAGGCGTCCAAGCTGCCTTCCAGCTAGGAACTGTTCAGCTAGGCGTTCGAGCTGCCTTCCAGCTAGGAACTGTTCAACTAGGCATCCAAGCCGCCTTCCAGCTAGGAACTGTTCAGCTAGGCGTTCGAGCCACCTTTCATCTAGGAACTGTTCAGCTAGGCGTCCGAATCACCTTCTAATTATGAACTGTTCAACTAGGCATCCGAATCACCTACCATCCGGAAGCTGCCAAAACATGCATCTTCAGAGCTATAACTACATGAATGCATTGATGTTGGTGATGCTAATTTTAAAGCTCCATTTGGAAAGAGTACAAATACAAATATGTACAATTCAAAATCTTGTATTTACATCGTAAATATTTGTATTCATACTCTTCCCAAACTAAGGCTAAGATTCAACTTCAAATTACCATGAATAAATTGTACATACATAAAAAGCAATACAATTTTTATTAATATTTTAAATAGGTTGTGTTCCAGGGGAGAACTAAGACGCCGAATCCAACTTCCATCATCTTGGCATCCCTGATCTAGAGGAGATAGCCAAACACACTATTGTTGCTGACCGAAACAGACCAGCACCAGTTACCATCAGGGAGGTTCTTAGTTGGTAGAGGCCGCAGGAAGGATTTCGTTAATGTGGATGGGGCAGCAGTTTCTGGTGACAGAGGGGGCGCTGGAGTTGGTGTTAGATATGACAGGAAATTTTCTTCAAGCATGTGTTATCCCTTCCTCTTAATGCTCGCTAGAGGCTGGTGCTTTCCTTAAGGCTATGTTTGGTTTGAAGGAAAAAGTAGGGAAAGGAAAGGAAGGGAAACTTTTACAAATCTTGTATAAGTTTCCCTGCATTTCCCTTCCTTTCCCTATTATTTCCTTCAAACCAAACATAGCGTAAGGGTCTAAAGATGGTTGAGGGATCTCCAATTTAATTTTTCACATAGGAAATTGTAATTTCTTTATTCACACTTGCCACCTTTTGTTTTATACCAATTTCTTGGTTCTCCCCCTTTTATCATTGTTAAATCACTAAGGTAAACTTGTTGAAATAGCAAGGATAAATAGTAGGGGAAAATATTAGAGTCTAATGTTCAACTAGGATCAAGTATTCATAAATGCATGTGGTGATTCCCATAGCTTTACTGGCTTTCTCCTTTGAGTGGTTACCAAAAGATGTTGATCTCTTATGATAACTCCACCCATGGGAATGTGCTTCTATAGTTAGTTTCTTATGGCCACGAGTAAAGGACTCTTAGTTAATGCACACATATAGCTTTTATTTAGGGAGAGTATGAAATACCTAACGCAGGGAGAGTAATAAGTACATACAAAATCCAAGGTTTTGCACTCCACAGATTTGTATTTGTACTCCTTCCAAACTGAGTCATGTAGAGTGCAAATAGTTTTTCTTTTTCAAAAATTGGTCAGAGGGTAGGTTTAGACCTATCTCTCTCTCTAGAATATAGAAGTGGGAAAAGCGCATTCCCATAAAGCTCTCAGGAGACCTACTGCTGTTGTGATCCTTCAACTCAGGAGACCTCCACAACACTGTTGAAAGATTGATTTGATTACAGGCCTCGTTAGCAGTAGGAGGTTTTACCGGCAAATTAAACTAGCTAGGAGATGGCTTCTAATTCAAGTATCAGTCAGATTCTGTTCCACCAATTAACAAAGTTATGGCATGAATCATATCCATGGATTAAGGGTTGAGTGGTGAATAGAATACTGTCGAAAATGGCAAAATGCAAATGCTGTCTGACTGGAGAACATGCAAAATTAATGGAGGAAACCATGACTATATTCCCCGGTTGCTGACGTGGGGCGTTATTATTGGTTAAACAGCCCCAATTCACAGTCATCCAGTGTATCTCATCCGGACTCGACGACTCGTCAAAGAATGGCAACGTCCAAGGCCGGTTGTCCATATATCAGTATCAGAAGGAAGGTTTGACACGGCCTTGGGTCGTCCCTGTTTGATGTTTCCCCGTCTGAGCTTCTTAGTGCTTATCATCATCAACCTTTCCCATTTTCAACGTCTGTAGTATTTTCTCCATTAGAAAATTTGGCCTTTTACGATTGAGAAATGTCGAGACCTTGCATCGAAACGTAGGGGAATATCACGCACCTTCAATTTCTGGTTGGGTGAGAGAAGTAATGGACACCGATGCATGGTGGAACTCTCTGTCACCCGGCCCCGACGTCAAGGGCCGTGTTTTCCCGCGGACTTAGTTTGATGAGGCGCTTGGAATCTTCACCTGCAAGTTTCTTTGGAGATCTACGTCACCCCATCGAGTTCGGATCTGTGAGAAACCTGTACTCCTGCAGAAATGGTACTGTGTGTTTATCTGCTATTGCAATGAAGCATAATGGGCAATGTAAAGGTACTTTGGATTGAACTGGGTATAAAGTATACTTGAGAGATCTACGAATCCTCTCTCTCTCTCTCTCCTGTTTGGGGATACTGTTTTAAGTGAACATTGAGGAGATGTCCAAAAAATTGCACAAAATCATAAACAGTGGCGAACAGAAGAAGTATTGAGATTGAAAATAAACTACTACAGTAACGAGAAGAAGTATTCAGATCACAAAAAAGCAAATTACAGTAAATAGAGATAGACAGCCCCCTCCATACGCAGTTGACATGGTGGTGGAGAGATGGAGTAAGAATCAAAAAGCGAACATAAATACTTAGCCAGCAGAGCCCAGGAGGCGTGAGGTGAGGAGTGGAAAGGGAGATTTCAACGAACGAGGAAACGCAGACGCCATGGAAAAGGGGGTGCGTGAAACATTTGATGTAATACCCTTACCAGCAGCGCCGTGTACTGCTCAAGCAGCTCCGCCACAATCGCCACTAACATCATCTTCTTTTTGGTTTTTACTTCTTCAGCCTAGCTACAGTGCGGCAAACGCCCTACCAGGTGATTTTAAGAGGTGATTTTCAGTCACCTCTTAAGAGGTGATTTTCAGTCTTCCATTGAAAATCTGCCACGCCGCTTTGAATAAAATAAAATAAAATTCTTTTATACACAGTTTTCTCTTCCACTTTCCCTGTTTTCTACGTTTTCTTTATTCGATTCTCTCTCTCTCTCCCCTCCTGGATAGGCCCAG